ACGAGCCACCAATTGAATTCGTACCTCTGTTCTGACTATCACTCCTGTGACATCTGTTCCGTTCTGTACGATACCGTGGTTATGGTTGTTTATTTATATAATCTCAGTTTTGCTACTTAAATGATTATTCGTTCAGACCTAGTGATAGTTATATAACTATCTATGATTATTTTGTGTCCCTTATATTCTTGGCATAATATTTCTTACTCTGCCATGTGCTTATAGCTGTTTACCAATTAGAGAGAGAAGGTTTTGTGGGAAATTCGAACATTGGAAAATTTGGGAGGAAGGTAGAAAATTGAAATCCTGCTTGGTTGATTTTCTTTTAAAAAATGTATTTTTGAATTTTTAAAAATTGTTTGGTTTCAATTTTTTGGATTCAATTTTCTGAAAATTGAGTTTTTTATTTTTCATGTTTTTTTTTATTTTTAGTAAATTTTAAAATTTTAATCAATTTTTATTTTTTATATTTGTAGATACACCTTACTTAGATGTATCTAAAAAGTAAAATATTTGTCCAAAAAAATTTTAAAAAAAAAATAAATGCACAAGAATACGAAAAATATACTAAATTTTCATACATATATATATATATTTACAGTATTTTGTGAATTTTATAAATATTTTTTTTTACAAATATTATATTTTTAAAGTGTATTTATGTGTGGTGTATTTAAAAATTTTAAAAAAATGCTTAGAATATTAAAAAAAAAATTAGTGAAAACATAATAAAATAAAATAAAAAAACACACAAAATAAAAAATTCCAATTTTCTGAAAAATAAATACTGAAAATCTAAACCAAACAAGCTAATCATATCCTACGTAAAATTATATAAAATTGACAAGTATGGTAGTTTTGATTTTTTTAATTTTTTCATGAAACTAATTTTTAGTCTTTAGAAAATAAATTTGAATCAAGTTTCAGAAAATCAAACCAAACCTGGCCACCACCTCTACTTTGGAAAGAGTTTCGATTCTCTTAATTGGTTATTTCAACTTTGGATTTTGTGGGCTCATTTTGAAACTGATTTCGACGATCCAAACCATTCACTCTTGTTACAATTTATTGACTGGAAGAGGGGAGGGAGAGAGTGAGAGAGAGACAAAGTGGTCGCTAAAAGTGTATTTTCTTGTAGTGAATCGATAAATCGAGAAGGAGCTCGGTAAATAAAGAAGATGGGAGAGAGAGAGTGAGCAAGGCGAACATAGTGGGGAAGAGAGAGACAGACAAGCAAACAGAGAGAGAAAGAGAGCAAAAAGAGTAATGAGTGAGAGACAGAGACAAGAGAGAAAGAGAGAGATACAGAAAAAGAAAGAGAAACAAGAGATGAACAAGAGATAGACAAAGAGAGAGAGAAAGAGAGCAAAAAGAGGTGAACGAAAGAGAGACATAGAAAAAGAGAGAGACTGAGAGAGAAGAGAGATGAGCGAGAGAGACAGAGTGAGATAGAGAAAAGAGAGATGAGTGAGACAGACAGAGAGATGAGCAAGAGAGAAGAGAGGAGAAATGAGCGAGAGAGACAGAGAGAGATGAGCGAGAGACAGAGACAGAGACAGAGAGACAAGAAGATGGAAAAATAGGGTGAAAAGAGAAATGTTATATCAAAATAGTAAGATGACGTCGTTTTTTAAAATGTTTTTTGCGACAGAAAAATACCGTTGCATTTATTCAAACCATTTTGTGATTGTATGTATATGAAGGCGTCTTAAAGCCACAATATACATTTTTTTTACTATTTTTTTTTTGCAACGGTACCTATTACAATTGCAAAAAACTCACTTTTTTTTTTTTTTTTGTGACTGCAGCTGGTGCCGTTGCAAAAACTCTATTTTTTTGCGACAGCAATCTCTGCCGTCGCAAATACTTTCATTTTTTGCGACAGCATTTTTTGCCGTCGCAAATACTCTATTTTTTCGTGACAACAAATTGTGTCGTCGTAAATACTCTATTTTTTCGCGACAGCAAATTGTGTCATCGCAAAAACTCCTATTTTTTGCGACAGCAAGTTGTGCCGTCACAAAAACTCACCTTTTTCGCGATAGCAAATTGTGCCGTCACACAAAGCCACTTTTTGAGACGGCAAGTGTGCCGTCGCAAATACTTCTGTCTTTTACTTATAGTGAATTTTACTAAAATTTTAATTTGATCCCTTATAATCTAATTAGCAGTTTAACAGTCAATTTTAATTCATTTCAATGCGATCCTTCCACCGTTTAAATTTGAGTAAAAGTTGAAATATGCTAGACTAAAGTGAAATTTGCGTGATAATTGTAGTTTGCCTTTATAATTTTTTTTTTATAATGTTTTTAAAAGGCACATGGCTCTTATTAGTGAACAATTAATTTGGTAAAAAAGTATGTAATGAGATGACCATCTTAAAATATAGATTAAAATATGAAGAATAAAAGAAAAATGATATATATGTCTACTTTTTAGACCCATTTTATAAATCTAATGGTGTGTAAGTGATATGATTAGTTGATAATTATGGAAGATATGAGAGAAAATATTACCTTTAATATCCTATTTGATTGTCACATCATTGATTTTGAAAATTGAGTATAATTTTTAATCTTAAATAGCAATGCTATTCATATAAAAATGGAAAGATAAAAGCATAATTTACCCCTTTTGTCCTGGTCATCTGGTTTCCAAATCCCATCAATTTATAAATGAAAAAGGAAAATAAGAGAGATCATTAAATTAATACCTACCAATAGATAAGATCAACTAGGTATTGTTTAATAATTTTCAACATTAGAACTTGCTTTTTTCCCTTTTATTATATCACCATTATATGCATTTTACTTTTGTTGGTTAGATTCCAAATTAATATTCTACTTAAACAATTTTGGGTTAATTACATTGATATCTCATGAGATTTGGAGAAAAAAACAAGTAATCTTATAGTTTTTAATATAATTATAATGACAGCGTAAAGAAATTTTTAATATAGTTTTTAATCTTATAGTTTTTAATATATATATTTCATCTAGTTTTACACACCTTTTCCTTCTCCCTTTCCCTTTCCAAATCCCCCAATCAAGTACACTGTAAAGAAATTTAATGTAATTATGTGAAAACAGTGATACTTGCAGTATTTACTTCAAACTTTATGAGAAGTTAGCGTAATTATCCAACAATTTAGGTAAAGTAAACTTTCTAAGGACATGTTTTGTTTGTTGTAGTTTAAATGAATATAAAGAACATATAAATTAATAAATTATTTTTATTATTTTTATTGAATGATGTAACATATATATAATAAAGAAACTTTGAAATGTGAAACATTTTGATAATGTGATAAGATAAGTCCAATAACAAAAGCTTATAAGATTTATTAGTTTGTATGACTCTTTAACAATTGTTTGCTAGATCAAGCATGCGACGCACATAGTCTTAAGTCCAAGAGCGGGTTGTATCATCTTCAACATTTCTACTACTTCTTTGCCTCAAAGGTGCGCTTTGCCTGATGACTAAGAAATGGGTTTGCGCGTGAATTGAAGTGATGCGGTTGTAAAGAGAGAAGTAGGGCTCCTATTGAAACGCTTCCCCCCCCTCAAAAGACGACCTGCTTTCAATACAAATTGTTATAACTTCCGACTTTTTTTATTTTGAAATTTTGAGCCACTTGTGTTGTAGTGATAAAAATAACTTGAATAAATTTTTAAAAATTAATTATTCTAACTCAGAAATGGATAATTTTAAATTCTACGTAGAAATTATCATTTTTTAGGTGTAGCACTTTTTTCACTTAAAAAATGAAATTTTAGAGAGTACCAATTTTACTAACCAATTTCTCTACAAATAAGAGCTCTTATAATCATAGAATAATGTTATATGTACCAATTGATATACTAACTAATATACCAATTGATGATGTGGCATAATTTAAGAGGTTTTTGAAATTTGTAACGTGATTAATAACTGGAGTCAATAATAATGTCATAACTAGTGTTGATACACCAGTTAGGATACTAATTGGTGCATGTAGCACTACTACTGATAATCATATCAAAAAGGGTGTCATCCATTAATTGCAGCCTCTACTCCTTTTTATATGCCAAAAGAGATTTTAATCGTCACTTTTAACCAAAAACTTTAACGGTAAGCGGTTCTATACTTTTCCACTGCACGTTATTGAATCCGTCTAAGCTTCTTTTGTCCAGATTTTCAACAAGTAAGGGCTTTTATAATCATATTAAGAAAAATCATCATGCATTAATAGTCGTATCCTCCTACCACTCAATATACTTTTTACCACTTTAACATATTTTGAAGACACCTTTTAACTTCATTCAAACAAGATTTAGGAAGTTCTCAAAAAAAAGAAAAAAACAAAAAACAAGATTTAGGAAAGAATACCAACTCTCAACATACATAAGATAAATGATGTAGAATAATGCTTCAAGACAACCAAATAATTACTTAGGTCATGGTGACAGCACAATGTTTTTCAGAAAATGAAATTAGAAAAAACAAACCAAACAAGTCCAAAATTCTTTTGTTCAACTTCTTAGTGAATTTGTTCTTAAATTTTTTTTAAAAAAAAAAAAAGAAAGAAAGAAAAAAAAAAAAAAAGCCTTCTTTGTGAGTTTTGATTTGATTTGTAAAAGCAGTGAATTCTGATAAAGAAAAACAGTCAAATTTTTAGCAAAAAATAACTTTGTCAAACTTCAAACTAAATTTCACAGAAGATTATTTGACAATAAATTTTAAAAAATTAAAAAAAAATTAAAAAAACACCTTTGACAAACCTTCTAATATAACCATTAGAGTCGCTCTTACTAGTTAAAACTTGGAATTAACTCTAGCAAACCCAAGGGTATTTCATAAACAACACATTCCAAACCAAACCAAACCAAACCAAAAAACAGAAAGTCAACATGTCAAATTTCAGACTACCAAAAAAGAAATAATAAAAAACCTTCAGTGTAAAGAGAAACTTGTTTTGTTTTTTTAATTTTTTGAAAAGATCTAAAAGTCAACAGTTAAAATTTACTGAAACAAGCTTCCAAACAGCCAATGCCACCGCTCATTACTTCCCTTTTTCATATGTTAAAATTATTATAGTATTTTCCATATTCATACAAAAGTGAGGATCTCAGCGCAAACAACCCCATAAAGATTTTCTTCTCTCCCCAAACAGAAACAGAAACAGAAAAAAAAGATCTAGGAAGAGTTTTTGAGAACCCATTCCACCAGAGTCGAAATGCCAAATCCTGTTGCAGTTTTCTTCTTCTCATTCCAGACAGGTCCAGCCATGTCAATATGCATCCATTGAACCTTCTCATCAACAAACTGCGGCCCCCCAAAACAAGAAGAAAAAAATACATAAAAACATAGAAAACAAACAGCAATGAAGAATTCCCGAGGTCTACTTCTAACCAGCACGAACAAATTTGAACTTCAAACAAAAATATATATTCGGAAAGAGCAAAAATTGTCATCATTCGAGTTAGCACGTATATTGCACGTGATATGTAAACCATTTTGTGATATATATTAGGTATTCTCTGATATGACTATCGGTATGATATGGGTACATATAGTAAAATCTATAATAAAAAATAAAAAAAATCTATGGGTATAGCTTGGTGCGTTTCGTAAAAAAAATATTTATTTTTAATTTGAATTAATGTAAAAATTAGTTAAATAATTTAGTTTAGTTAAGGCCCAACATACATTTCACATTTAATGCCAAAAGTACGGTATAAACCAAAATTAAACATCATTATCTTAAATAATTTACAAATCAAAGCTTAATTTTTAAAAGAAGTCCAATAAACTAACTTCATTTCTATATAGAAGAAAATACTATTTCGGCTAAGATACGACTTGGATATATACTAAGTACCTCTAAGGTAAGGCAAAAATTAAAATAAAAAAATTTGGAGACACGTTTCGTGTATCTATTACACATGCAAAAATATCTATCCGGTACTAGATACGACATGTTTGTCGAAATATCCATACTTCATAGATTATCAATAGGGCTTCCTGTGACTTAAATAAATCACACACAAAAATGGCTAGAAATCCAGAGGTACCTAGCAACATCTCATGTGGTGGGCATGTCATACGGGTTACTTTTAGGCACATCAACACTGACAAATTGGCTCATCCATTTGTAAACAATATTTCCCAAATTGCAGGTTACATTCTGAAAGTCAGCTTTCAGATAATCTTTTCCAAACAGACACTGAATCAACACCAGTTGTACTATGGGCCTCATGGATTTACTAGAGAGTGAAATAAATTTCTTGCAGTTTGCCCATTAAACCAATTGAGTCCAATGTGGCACGCATTATTCCTTTTAAAGAAAAAGAACAAGACCAAGAACAAAAAGGGAACCTTCCATTACACAATACAGCATAAACTCCTGACTCGGTTTTAAATATTGGATCACCCTTTATCTATCTGGATTTTGGTCTTTTGATACCGTTATTCGTCGATATATCAGTAGATACTATCTAATATTGACCGGTATATGCCAATACCAATATATATCCTGATATTGTTATTTAAAACGATGCCCAGACATAAAAGTAGAAGCAAACAATTAGAATGATCGATGGCATTACCTGTTTCAAGAAAAGGGCGGCAGTGATGGCACCACCTTGACGACCACCAGTATTGACCATATCGGCTACTCCTGATTTCATAGACTCCCAATAACTATCCTCCAAAGGCATCCTCCAAAGTTTTTCCCCAGCGGCCTCTGAAGCAGCAAGTACCTCCTTTGCAAGGTCATCACTCGGTGTAAAGATACCTGTTTATTATTAAAGATACACATTCCATCAAGAAAAAGATTGTCAAACGATGACTCAAAGTTTTAGAATTCGTTAGTTTTCTGTCAAGTGTGATTGTAGTATGTATTAAGGCACGATATTAATGGCAGCTATGTAAAGATAATGCCAAAGTAAATCTAAAAATTTCAAAAATTGTTCAACAAGCCATTGCAATAAATTTCTGAATTTTCTGAAGGAATCCTGACAGTATCTACTATTCAACAATTCAAATGATATCATGAAAGCATCATTCTAATTCTCATTGAATTTATTTTTTTAATTTATTATTATTATTTTTTTCAGATGTCACAACATGTTCTGCATGATTCTCAAAACAAAAAAGATTCCAAGCAGGGATATTATTTCCACATACAAAATTCATCACCACGATAGGGATATTTTTTTTTTTCTTATAAGAAATTCAAAAGCATGTACCTGCAATTGAGGGTCCAAGAGCAATTATGCAGGCCCCAGTTAAAGTTGCCAGGTCAACTATCTGCAAAACAATTGATCATAGTGTCATCACAACTTAAAAGACAAACTGAACTTTCTAAAACAGAGCAAACTCTTCCAAAAAGAGTTGGGAAAATGAACTACCAATTGATTTTTCATCACAATACACAATTCTAAAATGGCATGCCTCTATTTTATCCATATGAACTCTGAAGGGCTCTGGTATTACACAACAGAGAACTGATGTTTTAGAATACAGATTAATTTCCACAAAATAAGGAAAATTTAAATAAACCAAACACAATAAATCTACAATTTTGCTAAATAAACTTCATTTGTCATGATGTTTATATACCTTCTCTACACCTTGGTTACAGGCATATACCAAAGCATCTGCCAGTGTAAGTCTGCCTTCCGCATCAGTGTTGTTGACCTGCAATATATTGAAGCCAGTATAACACTTTATTTAAACAGAAATTCATAAAGGAAAAAAGAAAAAGAAAAATCTCAAGTGAAACTTAACCTGTCCAACAATACAAGTACAATACTGTATGGTAGTGACAAAAATTGTTCAATTTACTTATTTAGATCCATTTGGAAAATGCCATTTGAGAATTGACTTCTTCCAATTGTCTTTACATCATCATCTTCATCTTCATCTTCATTTTTTTATTTTATTTATTTATTTATTTTTTTCTATTGTTAAAGTGCAATGTAGTTTAATTTCTACTTCTTTAGGAAAACAAACCCTACTACTTTCCCCTTACTAGTTGGAGATGAGTTTGGTTCACATGGGCAAGAGTTTCAAATAAAGGACACCCTCTCCCACTCAACATCTTTGGTACAATTATTGTACTCTTATCATTTTTCTCTCCCTTCTTTTCTCTCTATATGATTGAAGCCTTACATGTTACTTGCCTAAAAAAATTAATATTTATAGACATGGTCATATAAGACATATATATATATATATATAAGAAAAAGAAATATATATACAAGTCATTCACAACACTGATACAATACAACCAACGAAAACAAACTTATTACTTGTTTATTTTGTAGGAAATTTAATGGAAAAACAATTAAGGCAGGCAAAATCATATATAACCATTCAAGAAAAAACTTGTTCTGTGAAAAAAGTATGACAAACAAACACAAGTGAAAATAAACAAGACAAATTAAGTCATTTAATCCTCTCATAAGCTGATTAACAGATGTCCATTTTCAGAAAACTGAAGAAAATTACCTCAATTGTCTTTCCATTTGAGGCTGTGACAATGTCTCCAGGCCTCATACCAGTTCCACTAATCATATTCTCACAAGCTGCAACAATGAAATGAACCTGCGAGTAAAACATGACTTTACTAAACCAAAACTATATGGATTACCAATCTGAGTTGCACAGAGCTTGAAAGTCAAAGACATAAATAACCACTCTGGGTGGGGGACCATGCAACGGAACTCACACTCTGTCTGGGAGCCGGAAAATGTTTACCGCATTTTCTAGCATTTTTGGTATAATAGAAAAATAAAATCAACGGAAAATATTTTCCACGGTCGACAGAAAACAAGCTTATTTGGGTGGAAAATGGTTTCCACTTTAAAAAGGTGAAAAACATTTTCTGGACAAAAGTCTTATCAATGCCACCACACTACCAATGCTAGTGGAAAACATTTTCCGGACTACAATCTTATCAATGTTACCACATTGCCACTGCCGCTGCCACCACACCACCTCCGTCGCATCACCAACACTACTACTAATACAAACAATAGTATATTAGTTCCAGCGACGCAACCAAATATAGAAAAACATTTTCTGGATTCCGAAAATAACGGAATGTTATTAGGATAAGGTTCCTCACCACAACAACATCAAAGCAACATCAAGTTCAATAAAAAAATAACTAACCTCTACTCCTGCAGGTTTAATTTCACCAAGAGCTTTTGCTGCACCCAAAGAACCTGCTGCTGAACCTCCCATATCAAATTTCATGAGCTCAATTAAACAGCCTGGTCCTGTCTTGATGTTGTAGCCACCACTACAATTGTAACAAATAAATATTCAATAACCTATGTACACATACAGCGAGAAAAAACAGATATGTGATCATTCCCACTTTATTTATATATTTTTTAATGAATACCAATTCAATTACAATTGCAATAAGCACGGGCAAAGAGAAAACAGAGAGAACGGGTACTAAAGACGCCGAAAAAGTGAGTCGCTATTCAATCTGGCTCATAATAATATTGCAACAGAGAACATCAATTCAATAGATACAGTGTTCATCCACATACATTTCCCAAAATTGACAGCACCAGTTATCTCATTCCAATAGATGACTGAACTGCAAAATATATAATTCTGGAAATATGTTATCACCTGTCAAAAGTCAACCCTTTTCCAACCAAGGCCAACTTGACTTTAACAGGCCCACTTGGTGGTTTGTAACATAAATGGATGAAATGTGGAGGATTTGCTGAAGCAGCAGCGACACCAAGGTAGGAACCCATTTTCAATTCTTTGCATTGCTTTGCATCCAAAATTGTTGCAGAAAAAACATCGCCGTACATGGTGGCAATTTTTGAAGCTTCTTCAGCTAGTACTCCTGAGGTATAAGAGATCAAATACAATCAATAGCGAAGATCAGCATACTCTGGCAAATACCAATAGACTGACAGAAGCAAAAGTCGAACCACCAAAAAATTATGACCCTTGAGCATACTAGCATGGTAAATCAAAGGTTAAGCAAATGCATTAAAAGCACAATATGAAGGGAGACTACACTAAACCACATGATACAATTATAAAGTACAGAACAGAAGAAAAGAAGTATAAGATCACAAACCAGGGGTGAGCACGTTGGCGGGTGCATTTACCAGCTCTCTCCCTAAAATTATCCCGGTGCAAACATCTTCTGCATACTTAAGCTTTTTCTCTACCTCAGGTCCAGTTCCAAGACCAAGAATATCCACAGATGAAAGTGCTGGCTTCTTTGATTCTGACTTAAACCTATTATCTTCATAAATCCCCAGCACAGTTCCTATCATTTCAAGTCATTCCACCAAGCTTAACCCCCATTATATGTCCAAGCAAGCATTATCTATCAAATTCAAATCTAAGTTCTAACATTGGAGAAAACAGAAAAGAAAAAGAAAAGAAAAGAAAATAGAAGAAACAAATACCAGATGCTATAGCTGAAGCAGTACTGAGTTTTGAGTCAGCAGAGAGCCCCTCAGAAGAGGCGAGCACAATGGCCACATTACTTGCCTGAGCAGCCTTTGCTGCCCCAGCAACGGCCTCGCCAAGACTGCTATAGGCGGTTGTAGTTGAAGCACACTGTCCAAGCCCAATTAACCCAATCCTCTTCGAGCCAAGACCTGGAAGCCTGAGAACTGTTGCCTGTCCAGCTTTACCAGTGAAATCTTCTTCCAAAGAAGCTTCAGCCAACAAACCCCCCAAATGGGAATCAAGTTTCTTCAAAATTGAGTTTTGGAATTTTGAGTTTTCATCTTTGGCCATGTCTTTCTCTGTAACACCCACTGCAAGTATATCTCCTTTCCATTCCACCAAATCAATCTCTTTTGCAGCAAAAGAGATCTTTCAGGGTTTTCCCAAACACATAAACAAGCATTTTAGTATCACTTAATCACACACTCTATGTCAAAACAACATCAATAAAAATACATGTATACAAAGAACTAATGGCATCCATCCAATCTTTATTCATCAAATTTGAGTAAAAATTTGGTTAAAAACTTAATCTTTTTTTTAATCAAAATCTGTTTGAAAAATTCCAAACTTATCCTTAAAACGTGATTTATTTTATGAAACAAAACCATCTCCAATCCTTACTTTTTTCTTTTTTTTTTTTTAAAAAAAATGAACAAAATTGAGTAAAAATATTGACTGTTGGAAATTTGGTGATGAACTTAATTCATCCTTGATTTGGTGAAGAAATTGCCTCTCCCTTGATTTGATACAAACTTGATGAAATGGTTGAAGCAACTTTTACCCATTTTTTCATCAAATTGATCCAAAAAAAAAAATCCTACTAATAGAAAGATGCCGCAAAAAACAAAAAAAAAAAAAAAAAAAAAAAAGAAAAAAGAAAAAAAAAAAAAAAAAAAAAAAAAAAACCCCATACAATAAATATCAATAATCAAGCCAAATGATAACAATTGTGAAATTTTATAATTAATACAATTATAAACCCGTAAACCAATATCATCTATTCATAGTAATACAACTCAAATTCCTGCGAGTTTAGAATGAATTTACAATAATTGAGAGAGAGAGAGAGGGAGAGAGACCTTGGGGGGTTCGATTGGAGAAGGATGAGTGAGGCCGAGAGTGGCACGAGTGAGAGAGTGAGCCATGCGTTTCGCTCTACGAGAACGCAGGGGTGTGAGTGCAAAAGGAAACGGGGTGGAACGTAATTTAGCGAAAACCAAGGAGGAAGACGAACAAGAATAAGAAGATAAAGTAGAGGAAGCAAGTGAAGAAGCCAAAGAGACTACTATGGCGGCCATTTTACGCTGCGGTAGTCTCTACGTATTTATAATACAACTTCACCATTTCAGATTGGGATGAGAGAGAGAGAGAGAGAGGGAGGGAGATAGAGACAGATGATGAGTGCATTTTGGCACACCAATATCAATATATGCGCTTGTGACCCTCCCATTCGCACACACCAATATCGATAATGCTACGTAACTCAAATTTTATGGTTTAAAAGTAGTTCAAATAGTCAAAATGACGTCGTTTTGAGTACAGAACAACATAAAAATGGCCAAAACGACGTCGTTTTCGTCATTTAAGCCACAAAATTTGAGTTACGAGACATTTTCCCACCAATATATGCACCTGTGCATTGTGGGCTTTGTTTGGCCATCAATTTTTTTTTTTTATACTAAAAAAACACAAAAAGTAGAATAGATTAAAATAAATTCATAAAATAAAATATTATATTATATTTAAATCATAATTATAAAATAAAATATTATATTATATTTAAATCATAATTATTTTACTTTTTCTTTCAAAAAAATCATAAAAGTTAAACCAAACAAACTTTTAGTCCTAAGCTAAAATAATAAAAAAGTTAAAAAATTAACAAAAAAAGTCTATTGCTTAGGCCTCGTTTGATAACATCATTTTTAGTTTAAAAGTTAAAAAGACACTAAAAAAGCCCAAAAAGCAAACAACATATATTAAAAAATCAAAAATTTTATTTTCTCTCTACTTTTTGCACATCTTTTCGTAAAAAATCAAAAAATTATCCTAAACATATTAATTTTTTTACATTATATTTTATCCAAAAAGTCAAAAAATTACTAAAAAAGTTTGTTCCCAAACATAGCTGATTAAAGTGATATTTTTTTAAAGTCTTTGTGTAATAATATTCAGTGTGTTAGTTTCAGTTTTCTAAATTCAGTTTTTTAGAAATTGAATTTTTTTATTTTTTGGATTTTTTTTTATTTTTAGTGAATATTTTTAAAATTTTAAGAAATTTTTTTACCTTTTTAGATGCACATTACTTAGATGTATCTAAATAATAAAATATTTGTAAAAAAAAATATAAAAAATTAATAAATATACAAAAATACAAAAAAAATATTCTTGATATTTAGTGAATCTTTTAAAGATTTTTTTCACAAATATTATACTTTTTAAGTGTATTTACATTAAGTGTGTCTAAAAAATTTAAAAATTATTTAAAGCATTAAAAAAATCAGTAAAAATTAAAAAAAATACATAAAATAAAAAAGTAAATTTTTTTTGAAAAATAAAATTGACAAAATTAAAAATTCATAATTTTTTTATTACAATGATCAAACCCTAAATTTTTTTATAACTTCCCCAATTGTTTATTATAGAAATAATGTTTTCTTTCAACAAGAAATCAGGTCTGTACAACAATTCACGTGATAAACATTGCGTAGAGAGATTGAGCACAAGAAATCAGGTCTCTGCAACAATTCACGTGAATAAACATTGCATAGAGAGATTGAGCATAAGAATTACATTCAGCATGTTTGGTTTTGATTTTCATAAAATAATTTTTAAAAATATTTATTTTTATATTTTTTATATTTTAATATTTTTAATGATTTTTTTAATATTTTAAGTAATTTTTTTAATTTTTAGACACACCTAACATAAATACACTAAAAAAATATAATATTTGTAAAAAAAAATTAAAAAAAATACACTATATATCAAAAAATATGAAAATTCAATATATTTTATGTATTTATTAATTTTTTAAAATATTTTTCCACAAATATTTTACTATTTAGATACATTTAAGTAAGATGCATCTAAAAAAATATAAAAAATTACATAAAATTTGAAAAATATTCACTAAAAACAAAAAAATTATGAAAAATAAAAATCACAATTTTTAAAAAATTAAATTTAAAAAACTAAAACCAAACACTGATTTCTATTCTACTTTCATTCCAATTAACTAAACATAAGATAATGCTTTATCTAATCTTCTTCCTGAGCTAAAGTTCCTTGTTGGCCTCCTTTATTCCTTTTGGTTTATCTTCTAAACATTTTCAGCTCTCCCATATTACTATCCTCCATATCCATTGGTATTCTATTTCGTGGATCCTGCACTCACAAAAATGATTTTAAATCGTTTGTCTTGTAGGTTCAACAATAAAATTAAATTGTACAAAAAATATATTTTATTAGACATCACCAAATACATGAATAAATTATATTTTATTTTTTGAAATAGACGATAACTATAGTCTAAGGATAAATTAAAAGTACACACTTGAGATTTTCTTAAAATACAAATTACTCCATATGGTTTTGAAAATTACATTTTGCCCTTTCAAATTTTTAATAATCATTAAGTTAATTAAAAGTTTTTAATAATCTCATAAATATATTTTAACTAACAATTCTGATAATTTCATTGTTGTATAGGAGAGTAGTTAAGAATTTCATATTTTTGTTAATTCTGTTAAATAAAAAAAATGATAAGGAAGTATTTGTAATTTTCAGAACTATAAGGAGCAATCTATATTTTAAACAAATCTCAAAGATGTGTCTTTGTAATGTACTTTAAATTTAAACTTAAGTTGTTTATTTTATTAAATAAAATATGATTTGTTCATCTATTCATCAATGCCTAATGAAGTTAAGTTTTTACACAATTAGTTTTCACTACAAATATACGATATAAATAGTTTGAATTATTATTATGAAACAAAGATGGAGTCCACAAATAAAATAGGGTGCTCAGGTCAAAAATCCAAATTTGAATTTTTATTTGTCCGTAGGTCCAACTACTAAAACACTTTATCCATAAGGACAAGCTAGTGTAAAAAGACCAAACTACCCATTATATATATTTATATATATGTTAATACAGTCATTCACATCTCTCTCGACTCTCTCTCTCTCTCTCTCTCTCACAAACACACTCTGTTGTAGCAGAGCGCCTCGCTTGCCTCCCCTCCCTCTCTTACATCTACCACCGCCTCCGCCGCTTGCCTTCCCTTCTCCCTCTCTTCCCTGCTTTGTCTATGTTTGAACACCACCACCACCACCGTATGCGACAATGACACCATCTGACGCCATATTTGATCTCTCAGGTGATCTTCTCCCTTTGTTGGATCTTTCTTGATTCTACGTTATTGAATGTCTCTCTCTCTCTCTCTTTCTCTACACAAACATATATATATATATATATATTAGCATATATACAGATCGCTAAGAGAATCTGATTTGCGATTCAGATGGTTCAATTGCAGTAAATGTTGGTGATGAGATGGTCAGGATCTGAATCAACGACAAAGCTATATGGCCCTGTTTGTTTGGGGTTATAAGGAGGGGATTGGAATTGATAGTGAGGTGGGGCTACTATATGGGGTGTTTGTTTTGAGAGATGGGGAGGAGACTACTAATCCCTTGGTATTAGTAAAGGCCTTGGAAGGGGGATTGGTAAGGAGAAGGAGGTAGAGATGGTATAAGAAAAATAGTGAGGGGATTAGAATTTTTTTTATTTTTTATATATTGGGAATTTGTTTTTAAATATTAATGTTTAATTTTTTATATTTTTTTATTTGTTTTATTATTTTATATAAAAATAATTTAACAATTCCTCACTATTAATCCCCTCACTGTCAATCCCCTCACTATTAATCCCCTCACTATCAATCCGCTCACTAACAATCCCCTCACTATCAATCACCTCCATTCTATCTCTGAAAACAAACGGGGCCAATGTTTCCAACTTGGATATAGTATTAGATTATAGGACGAAGCTATATATATACTGTGCGGGGAGAAAATATTCGTTGCTCTCTGTACTCCTTGTGTCCAAGCTCTGAGTAACGTTGCTCAATCTGAGAACAGAAAGACAGTGAGCTACCCGGCGGATGTGCAGCCAAAAAACCCCTCTGATGATCAAGTTAGCACACTTAGAGAAGAAGAAAAAAAGAGAGGAGACAAAATGCAAGTAGCTCTGATAACAAGAATTCCAGACTTGTGCATGGAGGCGCTGTGCCGTTTATGTAGTTTCTGCGCGCACCTCCATGCTCGTTATTTCTTGGACACGTGGAGGTACTGCCCTCTTGTCTCTCTTCACACATAGACATGAATATTGCCAAACACTAATGGCAAAATTGCCTAACGGTATTGACGTGTATAGATGGTGGAATCTCCATCTCACAATACGATTGGACTTCCAGCCGTCCTAGCCGAGCTACATACATCTCGGTTAGTCCAGGCGTCAATCTTGACTTGTTTCAAGGACTGAGCTAATTATCCAACTCGGCTTCCCACACGGCTTATTCAAGCTCTATTTATTCGTCTGTGTAAACCTTGTTCGAACTTGGTGCGCAGCAACCGTCTAACCCAGTTGGAGGCACAGTTACTACGCCTTGCTTGGTGCATAATCTATGTCGAACAGCTAGCCCGATCAAACACCTAAATCTCAGGGCCAACTCAATTGTGTGGTCCAAGACCTCGACCCAAACCAGCTCGACTTGTCTATTTGGCACAAATCTCCCTCTCAATTGCCCCTTAATTCTGTTATGCGCTCACATGACTGGAATTATATTTCTCGACCAAGCTAGGTCTCTTGTTCGGTTGCTCATCTTGCTCGATTCTTGGCCTTTAACTACCTTTGCTCATGTGACTAGGGTTGTGCTCTTTGGCCAAGCAGACGTGTGTGCTCAGTCACCTACTCTGCTCAGTCGTTGGCTCTTTGTTTATACCGCTCTCTATTCCATGACTGACACAAGTCCCATCAGACATGTGTCGTCTTTCCATAGGACTTATACAATCGTCCCAGCTACCTTACACCGTCCTTACAAATTCAAATCTTGGCGCTCTTCGAATCTTATACATATAACCGCGATACCAAAAACCTTTCACCTTCACTGTTCATCATCTCCTCCCCCGTTGGCAACACAAAGAACTCGAGAGCCCTTCACTATTTTTGCATGTTTCCTATCCAAATCGTGGTGTTTTTGTTGTAGACTCTGTATCGTCATCGTCGTTAGAGCCCTTGCCTGTTGATTGGAGCGCCGATCGGAGTTCTACCTCGTAAGTTTTCATATTCCCTCATGTTCTTGTGTTTTTTGTGTCATTTTTCTTTGAAA